GCCGATCTCCATTAGAGGGATTGTAAACTCCAGTAAATAAATAATGCACGGTATCGGGCGAGGAGCGTGGAGGGCTCTTTGCCTAAGCAGCCATCGGTCGTGGAACTTAATAAACGGCGTGGTTATCAATTTATAATGGTACGGCCGTGTCGCGCATGCGCGTGCCTACAGGGCCGTATCTCTGGTTACATAACGGCGTGCACGCGAGTGGCTTTAAACTCAATGTATTCTAACTATGCGCTCGTCCCTCCGTGTCTCTCCCTTCTCTCTGCCACCTTTCGCGATTCTGCGTTGCTTGCCACCCCTCGCCAACCCCTTGCTGCCCCTCTGTACCCGCTGTGTTTATCTCACTTCCTCTGATTCTGGATCTCTGTTTCTTTGTTTCAACTTTTCTGTGTCTTCCTTTCTTCGTCTCACCTGCTCTGGATCTAGATTTCTCTTTCTTCGTTTCACCCTCCCTTCATCTTTCTTCGTCTCACTTTCTCTAGATCTAGATTTCTTCTTCTTAGTTTCACCCTCGATTCGTCTCACTTGCTGTAGTCATAGATTTATCTTCGTTTCACCCTCTCTCCATCTCTCTTTCTTCGTCTCACTTTCTCTAGATTTCTCCTTTTTAGTTTCACCCTCTCTGCAACTTTCTTCGTCTCACTTGCTCCAGCTCTAGATTTCTCCTTCTTTGTTCCTCCCGCTCTACATTTCTCTTTTCTTCTCTCACCTCCTCTGACTCGACATCTCTCTTTCTCCGTCTTCCCGAAACCCCGTCCATCCCTCCTTCTCTCGTGTCCCTCCTTCACCCTTTGCGGCTCTGGTACAAGGGACAAATTGAATTTTAGATCATGCCGTGCTCTTCTGGGGTCCACGGGACGAGCCAAGAGGGAGTGAGTTGAGGGAGAGAGAGAAAGGATAGGCAGAGACAGAGAGGGGAGGGCAAGCGAGAAGCTCCGAGGGGGCGGAGCAGACGTCGAGATGATACTAATTGAAATTTGAAATTGATATTAGCGAATTATTACCCCTCTACTGCTTCTGCTTGGCCCAACGCAATTACGGCCGCGTGTCGGGTATCAAAAGTAATTGCTGCCAAACTTAACGAAATTCAGCCAATTTTCGTTTCGGCTGCCTGACCTTCCACGACGACGGATTACCGACTCGGGTTTCGCTTTACGTATGCACGTTGCTTCCTTTCGCAGGGAGTAAATGGAATTTTACTGGGCAGGAATGGTTCGGATGCCTAGAGGAATCGTTTGAGCGGCTCCTGGACCTTCGAGCGGGTCTTCGGACGCATCGCGGAGACGCTTGAGTGTTGGATGTGACTTTTGGCGGATTTTATGTTCTTGCTTTTTTCGAATATTTTTATCAGAGTGTAAATGTTCTCGTGTCATGTTTAATTTAATATGAAGAAATATTTATTTACTTTGTTTTGGGAGAAGAAAAATTAATTAAGCTATATGTGAAAACCACCCTCAAGAAATAAATTATTTCTTTTATGATAATTCAAGTATCTGTAATCTAATAAATCATTTTTGCAGTTTCATTATGGCTAAATGTATGTAAATGATTTTATATTTAAGAAAAGGAATGTAGTATTTATATAATTATCTAGGAGCACAGATTACCATCGATTTAATGTGCTCCCCGAAGAACATAATTATTCCATTATTGGTCTGACCATACCATTCCTTTTCTACTTTAAGGCATTTTGTACCTTATTTCTTCACAACTATAAAGAATAATATACAGATTGTATAATAGCAAATAGTATAATAAAAATAAAAAGATTGCATGCAAATGATAGTTTAACTATACCAATCACCACGAAATAATAACATTAATCGTCGAAATATAGATACGCAAAATTCAATACCATTCATTCTATAAATGTCTATTGCGCGTCCAATTAAAATGAACGATTCAAATCTTTCTTCATTCAGTGAGTCACTTATCGTCAGAAACATCTACGGGAATGTTTCCAGGCGTCATTGCAATAGCCTTTAACCCTTTCGTCTCTGTATATATATTTTTTTCCCTGAATCAAAGGGAAGGTCAAGAACAGCTGCTTTCAAGTAAAATTGAAGCTCTTCAATGAAAGAATTAAGATAATACTTTTAAGATGGAGAGTGGGGAAGGGTACAAATGCGCAACAGAAAGATTATAATTTAGTATATATAAATTATAATTTAGTATATACATAGAGTGTGCCGCTTAAATGTGTACGGTGCAATATCTCGTAAAGTATTAAAGTTAGAAAAAAAATGTTCTTACAAAAGTTGTTTGGTCTGAAGACATTGTATGTTATAAATATTATTTTCATAGATAGGTGACGGAGATATCAAGGTCAAGTTAGTATTTATAAGTGTAATCATATTTTTTTCTATAATTTTTTCCTATTATATTATTTCGTGTACTAAATCGGAAATTAAAGTGGTCGGAGGCGACGTTACTAATATATGTATATATTGGTAATTTAAAATGTGCGTGATATCTATGTGTACCATTCGAAACGAAACGGTTAATTAATTCTCCCAAGAAACATAATTGATAATGTTGAAAACTTGTGGTTGCAGATTGGATCTGTTCACGCTCACCAGCCGAACAGTAACCACCACCACCCACACCATCAGCAACAGCAACAGCAGCAGCAACAGCAACAGACGAGTCAGCCGCAGGTGCCTGGAGTCGGTGGTGGCGGGGGGCCGGGGGGTGGCACGGTGGCAAGGACTGGCGGCATGTTCTGCTACCACTGCCCCCCAGGTCTTCCGACCCCGCGGTTACCGCCAACCCTCGACTACCCCTTCACCGCAACTCATCCTTGTGAGTAGACAGATCGAACACTAAATTGCCGATGTAAAATTTTATGAATAAAAATTTCTTTTTTAACCCCTTGTCTTATAATATAGTATGAGTCTTGAGAAGAAAGCCTTGAAAGGTACTTATGTAGTAAACAGGAATATTCAATTTTGTTTAAGCCACAATAATATATTGTTTCCATTAGATCTATGGTATTGAGAAAATGCAAATGTCATTCGATTCTATTAAATTAAAAGGGGAATATTATTTACGTGGTATGAATTGCTACGTTTCGTAACAAATGTCGGAATACAGTGCATACAGAATTCTTTCTTTTTTCGAGTAAATTGTTAGTGACAAAATGGTTCGTATGTAGAATGGTACTTTTGGAAATTATGAAGAACTATGACGTTTAGAAATATCAAAACAATGTATATTTATATTAATTGATTATAGTATTGGTATGTAGTCATGGAAAATTAATATTTTATTGCCATACAATTGAATATTTAAAAAACTTTATTTTCTCTGAATTATTTCCTCCTTATTATTTATTGAGGAAGACTAAGCAATTATGGAATTGGACAAAATTAATATTCTTTGAATCATTTGGATCTTTGAATTATTTCTTGAGTATATATGTAAGTAATTCAAGAATTGACAAAATTTATGATACTTTTGGAAATTATGAAGAATTGTATAATGTAATGTAATGTAAACATACAAAACTAATATTGTTTAGAAAAATATAATTATTTTTCTACTAAGTACGTTAAATTTTATATCTTGAAAATGATGTACCTTCGAAACAGTAGAATTTCATATTCTATTGTTCTATGGTTACTTATCATATGATAGGCGGTTCCGATATGCATCATAGAACATAATAATCGAGTCTACAAACATGTTCTACTATCAGAATCCCCCTTTCCCTTCCGGCGACACGATTACGACTCTCCCTAGAGTATCGTTCCGACCCGATTTACCTCGCCAAGAAAAATTTGATTCTGCCCATAATCTTACGCTTCTTCATCTATTTTCACCCTCGCCATTCTTCCCCAATTTCGCTCCGGCGCAGACTTTAAAACGGTCTATATCATGACAAACCGTCGACCGGCAGCATCATACAATTTTCAGAATCACTTTCGATATTTTAAATTGAAAAATATCGGGAGATACACTTCCGAAACCATTCCTGATTACTTTTCAATTGAGAATTTTTGATAGCGAATTTTAATTTGCACTCGAACGTTAATTTGTTACTTACTCGTGTATTCCATATAAATTCTTTCAACCTGATGTGTGCATTTATTAATGCCAATTTAATCGGAACAGAAGCGTGCAAGTGAAATCTATTGGGAATAATTGGAAATTACAACGCGCTTTCATATTTCTATTGAAATATCGTTTGTATTTTGAGATTTATGTACATATACTTAATGTCACTGATTCAAAATATGACGTTCGATTTCATAAAAAAATGTTAATTTATTATTGGCTAAAGGTATTGGTATAACATTTCACATACAGAGTGATATTAAATGATTAATATTGAAATAATAAAAATATTTATTATATATCAATCTGAAATAAGACTTTATTTTGCAACAATAAAACCACTCAAACCGATCAAAGTGAATATTCCAAACAGACGATAGTAACGTTTCCATCTAACAAAGATTCATTCGCAACATAGCCAATTACATTATTTTACATATAGTCAATTACCGAACAGCCTAAATAAACGACAAATTATCGTTCATTTTTATTTTCCTTCGTGACAAAGCCAATTTGAAAATTCCTGCCTTTTTGCGTTAACAACAACCAAAGATTGGAAACACGAAAACGAAAAGAGATCGTGATAGAATGAAATAAAAGTGGCTACAAAGGTGCGCGGGTGGTGTGGTCGGGGAGAAAATGGGGGAGGAAGAGAGAAAAGGGAGATTGATTGTACCGGCACTTGCTCTGGCGGAACACATCGATGAAGTTACATTACCGACTAGACCGAGTTACGCAAAGTGGACGCTACAAACTGGACGGCCGCTAAACTTAATTTGCACTTCGAACCAACTTCCGGTTAAACCGCGTCCCGACGGCGGTGCCGAGTCGCTCTTCAGAACTTCGTCGGCGCGGAGTGCCTGCCTATTCACCGATCGTTTTCCAAGTCGAATCTCGTTTTCTGACGCGACACGTTGACCACCGTTTACGAAAATTCTTCATTGTCCCAAACGACAAATAATATCAACTCTTCGTTTACTTGTATTTCCAGGTTTAGTTACGTTTTATTTTGGACTATTTCTCGGGGACATCTAGCGGTTACAGATGAATATTTTAAAAAATTAATTTTTTTTTAAATTTCCTACGTATTATTCCTTGAGGAAGTCTCAATAATTCAAGAATTGAAAACATTTATTTTATTTAAATTATTTCTTGGACATACTATCTCGAGGAAGTCTAAGTAATTTAAAAGTCGAAAAGAATTTATATTCTTTAAATCATTTGAATCTTTGAATTATTTCCTTAGAAGGTCTATGTAATTCAAGAATTGAAAAAATTTATTTTCTTTGAGTCATTTCTTGCACATAATTTCTTGAGAAAGTCTAAGTAATTTAAGAATTGAAACAATGTATTTTCTTTGAATCATTCGAATGTTTGAATTATTTTTTGCAGATAATCTCTTGAAGAAGTTAAGAAGTAATTTAAGAGTTGACAAAATTAATTTTTTTGGATCATTTAAATCTTTGAATTATGTTTTGCATATTATTTCTTAAAGAAGTCTAACTAATTGAAAATTTCGAATAATTAATTTTCTTTGTATTTTTAATAAAATGATTGAAATGCCTGATCGGTTTTGATGAAACTTTGAACGTATTTTCTAAAAACGTAATTTTATTTTTGTGACGAGCGTGATACGTTTTACAAATTCGCTTTAAATTCTGCATGTAGATTTCTAATGAGATTCCACGACTGTTAGCGCAGCCTTTTTTAAATTTAATTCTCTTTAAAAACGAATTTAAGAGGGAAATTTTCAATATAAAATGTTAATTTCAAAAAATTACTGTCAAATGAAACTGATGAAATGAATTGTTCACTCATTTCATTAATCAATAATTAATGTAACGATTATAAAAATTTCTTAATAAATCTTAAATAAATGGTTCTCTTCACTATCGTTTCTAGTGATTTACTTTCTTTTGTAAAATTCTTAAATCAAACTAATGGAACGAACAAAGACAATTATATGATTATATATAGGGTGTATTAATATTTTATTTAACTGTTACAAAATTTATTTTTACATCCCAATTTTTACCATTTCAAAATGTTAAAAAATCCTAATTTTCTTGTGTAATAAGTATTCTATAGAAGAAACTAATGTTTCAGGTTTCATTACTTATTTTTTTTAATTATAATTTACAAACACCTACCTATAATTTTTCAATTACTAACGTATCTATTTATTTGTCAACAATTTCTATTACATTTGATCAAAACGTTTCTCCTCTCATATGATTTTAGAAAATTATGCATCAAACGAGACTTCTACTTTTTCCATACATTCCAAACACGGTTCATCGAGTCACGATGCATGTGTTCACTTTATTGCATATTATGAACCTCAATAAGATCCATGTGGTAGGTAGATAATCGAATGGGGAACGTAGGTGTATGAGAGAAGGGAGACGCCGGTATCCTCAGGGACGTGTAAGTGCCCCCTTCATCTAGATACGAACTACAGTTTAAATAAAATATTGATTTCTCCAATCTAAATTGAAATTATCTTTTTAATGCGCATTTATTATTCTCTTTGCGAAAATTATTTTCGTATTTTCACTTAAGTGGTCTTTCAAGTTTCTCGATCGACGGAAATCAAATTTTTTAATGCATTTTCTTACACTTCCGCATTTTACAATTAAAATATGAAATATTAAAAACGACTTTTTTTAACGACTTCTTGCATTGAAAGATTTTTAGAGAAGTTTTAAACTCGAATTTTTTAAAACTCTTACACCCTTAATTTTATATTAAGTGTTGTGTATTAAAAATTATTATGTATTAAAAAATAATTATTTAATTTACTTGAAGTTTTACCTACAACTTTGATTTTTATACTTTTCGTATTTAAATTAGAACTATAAATATGTATATAGAAAATTTTAATTTTGCGAGTAGGAAACCAACCTCAGTTTTAAGGTGCAATCAAATTCTTTTTGAGATACTGTTATTTATTATTTAAAGAACTATAACTGATGATGTTATGGACACCATATAGAAACAGATTTTTTAGACATGCTAATTTTTCAACAAACTACTGGTTTTGTTTGACAAATGTTTCCCTGTTTTCTCATATACCTATCAGTTAATGAATTCAAAATGTTTCAAATCGATATGTTTAATCCTATTGTTTGAAAGAATTCCGAAAAATCGACTTACTTTTCGTTGTCAAACTGAGAAGACCCCTTAGAGTTAGGCAAAATTCGTGTTTGCGTTTATTGTAGACTAGCGCACAATGTTTGAATATCAAATTGAAAAACGAGCAGTCAAGCTTTAGCACAAAGAACCTATCAAACATAAATTGAAAGTTAATTGTAAGTAATTTTGCGCAATAATTCTTCGTTTTGATGTGAAATGTGCAGTTTCTCTTCCTCGATTACCATGGATATTAAATCAATATAGAGCTTTCAAGACGAGAAGATTAAAGACTGAAATTGAAATTAAATTTACATTACTTCTAAATAGATTATCTTCTCTTCAAACTGTTTCGGAAAATTTGAAAACAAAACTATCTACAGATTTTTTCTACTACTCTTTGACAAAGAGACTTAAATCTATCGTCGTATACCTATATTATAAAAATTTGATTGGGACAAGAAATAAAAAGTGAGAACAACGAACAAAATGTTGTGTAAATAAATTTTGTTAATATTACACTTACATTTATAATATTTATTTATTATCATATTCACTTACATCTATTATAATTTTAGTCGAAACAAAAAATACCTTAACCCCTTGCTCTATGA